TTTATTTTTTTTATTTTTTTATTTCGTGACTCGAAACTGATATCTTAATATATAAATAGCCTTATGGACCTATATATATATGTATATATCCATCAACTTGTCTATATATACATATTATTCATTTTATTTCTTTATTTCGTGACTCTAAACTAATATCTTAATATATAAATATCCTTATGAACCTATATATATGTATATATCCGTCCCCTTGTCCATATATATATATATTATTTTTTTTAAATTTATTTCCTGACTCGAAACTGATATCTTAATATATAAATATCCTTATGAGCCTATATATATATATATGTGCATATATTCGTCCAATTGTCCATATATATATAAATATAATTTATTTTATTTCTTTATTTCGTGACTCGAAACTGATATCTTAATATATAAATATCCTTATGGATCTATATATATATGTATATATCCTTCCACTTGTCCATATATATATTTTTTTTTTCTTTATTTTCTGACTCGAAACGGATATCTTAATATATAAATATCCTTATGAACCTATATATATGTATATATATATATATATATGTATGTATAAGTGGCTTTTCTTTCTGCGACCAGGAGATGTCTGAAGATGCCAGGCTAGCGTATCTGATGGGCTGAATGGGAGCAGTGAGGCCATCGCGTGCCTACTTCGGGAAGTTCGTCTGGCCATGGCTGGGACAGACGAGAGGTGGACTGGCGAGGCAGGGCCAAAGGTGACGAGCAAGGGCATGTGGAGGTGGCGAGGCCAGAAGGCAGAGCGAATCGGAGGGAGGAGAGTTTATAGAATCACCGACACCACAAAAGAGACGGCAACAACGAGGCTAGAGGTGGCTACTGCTCATTCATGAGAGGTGGTTTTATCCAACTGGCCAGCTGAACAGAGTGGGGCAGTGTTGAGGAGAGAGATTTGAGGAGGTAGGCGTCGATGGGACAGCGAAGCCGGCCGAGAGACTGGCTCTGCTCGGTCTCGTTTTCTTCCTCCACTCAACCGAATAGTTGGCCCGGACACCTGCCCTCTTCCGTGGACAGCTCCGACTGCAAGCGTGGAAGGGCCGAGTAAGGCTGAAACAGGTCTCGTGGCCCAGCCGGACCCCCTGCTTGCTTGCAGACCCTTTTGACGCTATAACCTCCTCACCCGCCGCCTCAGCCTCCACCTTCGACTGGCCTGCCAAGGCCGTCGTGCAATCTTAAAGAGAAGCCAACTTGTCGTCTTGACGGCGCCTCCATCCGATGGAGGGAAGTCAACAGACGATGGGCCAAACAAGAGGAGAGGATACACTTACGTGATACGTTGAATTGCTATGCAAATGAGTAAGTGAATAGCTACGCGAGTGACTAATTAGACTTATTTATGGCAGAGTGGACGGATGGATGAATGGACAGATGGACTAGTGGATGTATAGACAGGTCGACGAGTGGACAGGTATACAGATGGAGAGGTGGACGAATAGACGTGTGGACAGATGGACGAATGTATGAATGGGCAGGTGGGTGGACGAGTGGACGGATAAACAGGTGCGTGGATCGACGAGTGTAAAGATGGACGGATAGGCGGATGGATGGATAGACGAGTAGAAGAATGGACGGGTGAACGGACGGACTGATGGGTGGATAGGTGGATGTGTGAATGGACGGCTTATGAGATGTCTCGCAACTCTACTTACATACGAAAGATACATGGATTGACGGGGTCAAAAATCCCACGTTATGCCCAATCAGCCTTAATGTGTCTGATATGCCTGGCCGTTCATCCTCAACTCAGTTTTTCTCTGAGGACAAAGTAGCATAACATTTTTCTGTGCGAATCATAGACAGACCGCCACACCCTATTAATAAGATTCGACAATGATTTGCGTATCTCCATTTCTATTCATTACACCTTAACCTACCTCTTTTCTGAATGAGCTTCGTCTTAATGGTATAGAAGAGGTTTGGTAGCAATTAAAACAAACTATAACAATTTGACTATATCGAATCACAGCTATAGCACTAAAAGTATTACTATTATATATGAAAATCTACTTATAAACGAAACAGTATTACCCTTATGAATAAAAAAAAGTATTACTCTTGCTAGCATCCACCTCACAAGCAACAGCAAAATTTGCTCTATTTATTTTCCTTAATCACTAGCCAAGTCAAAGAGCGCTTTAAATTGTGATTTATAAACCTAAGAACTTTATTGTGAATAGATAAAATATAAGTTTACTGGTTGAGTCCTGCCTTCCATCTGATTTCTCCTCAAGGATGGGCTATAATTTCGACCTCGTCTAAGACCCACTCCAAGAATGGACCATTCACGATTGCATCACCATTCAATAGAGTGCAGTGGTTGGAGGAAGAAGGGCTAGTTTTAGTTCATCTCCAGCTTTGAAATATGAAAATCATATCGTTCTGCCATAATTGAGATATAACGCCAAAAACCATATGTAAATTCCAGTTCGATGGGTTACACATCTTCATATTGCAGTTTTGTGCAATTTGCACCTGTTTGTGGACGTAACTGCTTTCCTGTGTGATTTAGGATAACTCGTCTAACAGTGTCCTGTGACCCGTAATTCGGATGTGTTCCACAAATTCAGGTACTTTGGCGGCAAGAAATCCTTTATCTGCTCAAAACCTAGGTGCGAAGCCCACTGATGCGTGAGACTAAAATCTAGGCTATGTTGAATTAACAATCTGCCTTGAATGAGAGTAGATCTTTTTAAAGCCCATGCATACGTACATATGCACATACGCATAAGAGCATGGGAAAACCCTTTCGCATATACAAGCATGCATATATATATATATATATGTTTACATACACACATACAAACATATATATATACATACATATACACATTTATGCACACATATACATACATACATACATACATACATACATACATACATACATACATACATACATACATACATA